TATATATATATATATATATATTCTGTCAAACATACAGCAAATTGCTTTGTTTTATTTCATAACTGTAATAAATTTTGCAGAGTATATATATATTTTAAAAAGTTGCAATTTATAATAAATAAAAACTGCTGATGTGTTGCGTTATGTCTCTATAAGACATACATATTTAATTCTTTATATAAAAACTCAAAAAAATCTTACCTCTTGAAAGAAGAAAAAAAAAGCAAGGAGGCTTTCAGAGGGTGAATGACTTTCTTCCGTTTGTAGAAGTAAATACATTTATCTCTCGAACTTATGTTTTTTTTTTTTTTAGAAAATATTACTTATTATTGCTTAGAACATATATACTAAAAGAGGCATAGCTAACTTGCCGTTGTCCGCAACATCTATCTATCCTTGTCTGTACATAGTACCTCAATACGCATGCGTCGATTATGTTGTATGTATGACAAATTAGAACATATATATATACCTTCACATATATACTTTAACATGCATATATATACCTTTTAGTTGGTTATCCTCTCACGCAAACTCATTGACAGATTTCGTGCAGAACAAGAATAGATAGATGTTGCGGACACTTTTGTTACGTATGTCAGATAGGCTATACCCCTTCCAGTATATATGTTCTAAGGTATCTAGTAGATAATCAAATCACTTGAAGTTTGAGTCTCTCCCTTCGATAATTAAAGTGGTTTAGCCAAGACTCAAACCACTAATGGTTCGAATCACCGCTAAATAAGAAGTTTTAGCCAAGACTCGAACCACTAGTGGTTTGAATCTTGGCTAAAACTTCTTATTTAGCGGGGATTTGAACCATTAGTGGTTTGAGTCTTGGCTAAAACACTTTATTTTTGAGGAAATCTCTTCTTTTCTTACTGTGACTGTATATATTCTTTTCAGGTTATGTCTGTTTATATTCATACAAGTGAGTTTTAAGTTGATTCTATTGAAATATCACTTTTTCTTATTTTTACTCTACTTCCAATAAAAACAGAACATTAAATTTGAACTATATCAATCGGAGCGGAACCGAATTGAGGGTTTCGGTGAAAACTAGAACACTGTTCCCTCGAGCCCCTCGAGGTGAGAGTCGCAAACTTGTGACGTCGCTGGACAGCTTTTTTTTCTGTCCAATCAGAAGCAACTGTGACGTCACGAGTTTTTTTTGCGACTTTCTCCCTATGGGTTGATTTATAATTGTCCTACCAGAGAGAAGCCTGAGAGCGGCCAGGCCCATAAGAGTTTTTGGGTACCATTATTCCGGCCCGTAAGCTAGCGCATGTCCATGGGTGGTGCACATTGGCAACTACGTAGCGATGTCCACGAGCGACTTGTCGATACGTATGGCTATGTCCACGCGTAGACATGGTTTTATTCCGTGCTATGTGCTGTGGACATGGTTCTATTCCGTGCTATGTGCACGATTCCAAGCGTCGAGAAAGATCAAGCAGCCGGCCAGCACCGAAATGGTAGGGGAACGCACACAAGCGAAACCGCCGTCGTCCGTGTGCGCTCGTGAAAGAGTGCAGACATATTATGTTCCGTCTCCCTTTCACCAAGCCGAGTATAAGGCGAGACACAAAGCATGTTTACGTTGCGCGCTTGTTGCGTATGACAACGTGAAATGCTT